CACGCTTCTTCCCCCATCCCTTTGGTTGGTGCCAGCGCCGCTCGCTCCCTTAACCTATATCTTGGGGGGGGACACCACACACACACGAGCTGTACCCCCCCCCTTGCCCAGCGTTGCCAGTCCCTGACGGGCAGCTCCAGAGCTGGGCAAACCTCCCGGCAAGAAGTCTCATAACTTCTGCTCTATTTATTTGTGCGGCGGCGGCCGCTTTATTGAGCTGGAGGAGCTGGGAGTTGGGGGGGGGGGACACACAGGGGACACACACACACACTCACACACACACACTCACACACACGCAACCACCAGGGTTTTTTTTTTCCTCCTTACATGTGAATATGGGGCACTCGATGAGCTGCACCAGCTTGTCCACCTCGGTGAGGAAATCCACCGTGACCTCCAGATCCCCGCTGGATGCGCCCGTCAAGGATGTCACCTTGGAAAAAACGGGGGGCCCCCCCGGCGGCAGGAGATGGCTCACCCCACCACCCCAGGCTAGTGTCCCGGTGTGGACCTTGCCAAACCCTCTCCTGCATCCCCAGCTCCTGCAGGAGCCAAGGGTCCATGGAAGGAACCAGGAGGAGAAGGCAGGGATGGAGGGGGGTTGTGTGTGGGGAAAGGCAGGTTGTCCAAAAAGCCACCAGGTTGCCCATAAAGCCACCGGGTTGCCCATAAAGCCACCAGATTGCCTGTAAAGCCACCAAGTTGCCCATAAAGCCACCAGGTTGCCCATAAAGCTCCGTCAGCTTGCCTAGCTGGAGACCAAGCAGGAAGATGGTGTGAGGATCCTTGTTTTTACCCTCCTGGGCACAAAGGTGTTTCCAAGCTCTCCCGTTCCCCAGGAGAAACACCACCAAAGGGAACCCCAGCGCGTTATTGAGCTTCTTCATATGGAAGACTCAAGGCAGCTTGGGGTTTGCCAGCTGGTGGGAAACCATCGTTCTGCCCCAGGCAGGTGGTGAGCTCACCGGGAAGTGTTTCCAAGCTCTCCCGTTCCCCAGGAGAAACACCACCAAAGGGAACCCCAACACGTTATTGAGCTTCTTCATATGGAAAACTCAAGGCAGCTCGGGGTTTGCCAGCTGGTGGGAAACCATCGTTCTGCCCCAGGCAGGTGGTGAGCTCACCGGGAACCGCACCGCGTCAGGGCTGCCTGCTCCTCATCAGGCCAGGAGGCCAAAGCCTTCATCTTCCCGGGAGGAAGAGGATGCTGAGGAGCCTCCCCTCGCGGGCAGGGGAAGGCCAGGGCTCAGGCAGAGCAGGGTTTCCTCTTTTTACGCCACAAAACCCAAGGATGACCCAAGGGGAAGGGAACTGGCCACCCCAGTAATGATGGGCTTGTAGGCAGGAGGCTGGGCTGGCCCGCAGGGTGACCTTGGTGGCCACAGAGGGACCAAAAGGCCAAGCCCGGGCACCGGCCTCGCAGAAAACCCCCAAAGGATACAATTTCTGGATGAGGTCGTAGGCGTGCTTGTAGTTCTGGGTAAGGAAGCAGAGGGACACGGTTGTCACGGGGTTGTGACACCAGGAGCGGTACAGGCAGCAGAAGAGGTTACGGCTTTCCTGGGAAAAGAGGGAACCATCGAGGTCAGGTCACCCGTGGGAGCAAGGACGTGGCACCCAGAGTCCCCGACACCAACCCGCGGGGCTGGCAAGTGCCACCAAGACGTGAAGGTACGTTTCTGGAGCCACCAAGTCCACCTGGCGCTGTCATAGGGCCACCAGCCTTGAAAGATGGAGGTCAGGTGGGTTTTGGGGGTGCTGCATCCCCGTAGGACAAGGGGCTGGAGGCCTACCCAAGGGGACACCACTGCAGTGGTGGCCATGGCATGAGGAGGAGGAGGAGGAGAAGTCTTCCTCCCTCTCCACGTCTTGGCTGGTGTTGGTGGCAGCTGCTCGGCAAACCCCATGGGGAGGTTCCTGGGGAAGGGACAGCTGAGGGGCTCTGCTCCCGCTGTCACCTGTCCCTTGGCCTGTGTTGGGGTGGAGGGAGGGCGCCAGCAGCTGCTCGAGGGGCTTGAGGAGCCCGTGCCCATGCTGGGGGGAGAAAAGCAAGAGTTGGGCATGTCCTCCAAACCCCCTCTCAACTCCTGAGGAGTGGAGGAACGAAGGGGCCACCCAGGTCCAGCCCTGGGACCTGCCAGTCGGGGACTGTGCAGCGAGACACGTCCCCAGGTGGTTCTCAGGTCCCCACCAACCCAGTAGCTGAGCCCCCACTGCCCATACCGGGGTCTTGAGATCCTTCAGCTGGTTCCTCAGCTGGAAGAGCTCGGAGGAGGTCAGCAGGATGGTGTTCAGGGTGTGGACCATGGTAGAGGCGAACTTGAGGTCCTCTTCCCGAAGCAGGATGTCTGCCATGGAGTGGAAGATGTTTTCTGCGTTCAGAAGCAAACAAAGCTGCCTGCGTATCACAGAGGAAAGAAAGAAACCCGGGGATCGTTAACGAGGGTTAATGAGTGCAGCCGAGACCCTGCCCTGAGCCCACACATCACCCCCTCCCAGCAGAGAGGAGCAGGGACAAGAGATATGGGTGCACGGTGTTGGGGCGAGCGTGGTGGCACCAGGAGGGAGATGTTATGGGGCAACATCAGGCCCTGTGTTTGGTGGGTGCAGCTACTGGATTCTATGATTCTACTTGCACCGGGGCAAGGCCAAAAAAACCATCCCTGGTCGTGCTGCTCTGGGACCTCGCCAGCACCCACCACTATGGCTTGTGGTGGCCACCTCAAGCCTCTCAGTGACCTCCCTTGAGGGGGTTTGGGCATCCCTTTCCATCCTGACAACTGCAGGGAAGGTGCAGCAGCCGAGTTACAGATGGCACGTGATGGCCCAGTCAGACCAGTATCCCTCTGACGCCAGGGAACTGGCGGGGAATGAGCTTGGCCAACAAGGCGAGCTCCCTCCCAGCGCTGTGGGACCTGGGAGCGCTGGAACCAGAGCCCCCCTTTCTTCCAGTAACCCACCCCATTGCTCTTTGAACTCCTCTACGCTCCAGCTCCCAGGACATCCGGTGCTGAGAAGCTCCAGAGCTCCAGTCCATGAAGCTGGAAGATGCCTCTGCTCCACGGGACACCCCACCCCCCGGCATCGCTCTCCCCAAAACACGGCGCTGCAGCCCACGCTTGGCGGGTCACGGCGGGAATGTCCTGCTTAACAAACCTTGGGGCATTCTCAAGGTTTTTCAACATTTTAGACCAGAAACCAAAGAAACTGAGATTTTTTTTTCTATTTTTTTTTTTTTCCTTCTGCGTTTGTTTGGGTTTGGGGATTTCCTGTTTTTTCTTCTCGGGCGGTTTGTCTGAGGACACCTGAAATGCTGCCCAGCACCCACTCAGCTCTCCCCAGTGCCCACACTGGGGAGACCAGGGGGAGCCCACCCAGCTCCTCCTGAAACTGGGATGCTCCCAGCGTCCCCCCATCTCCTCCATGGGCTGTCGGGGACCTGGGGAGATGCTGGCATCCCCCAGAGCTCCTCTGCTTTCCCCCAACTCCTACCAAGCACCGTTCCTCCCCAGGATAATCTCAGCTGGCAACCAAATCCCCCCCAGAGGCATCTCAGAAGGGTTTAGGAGGCATCTCGGAAGGGTTTAGGAGGCATCTCGGAAGGGTTTAGGAGGCATCTTGGAAGGGTTTAGGAGGCATCTCGGAAGGGTTTAGGAGGCATCTCAAAAGGGTTTAGGAGGCATCTCAGAAGGGTTTAGGAGGCATATCAGAAGGGTTTAGGAGGCATCTCAGAAGGGTTTAGGAGGCATCTCGGAAGGGTTTAGGAGGCATGTCAGAAGGGTTTAGGAGGCATCTCAAAAGGGTTTAGGAGGCATCTCGGAGAGGTTTAGGAGGCAAAACAAGGAGCACCTGCTTCACCGGCTGGGTGGAAGGCATTTACTAGCTACTGGGTTTGGCTGGGAGGTGGGAGGCACACCTGAATTTCTCCCATGAGGTCACGTCTTCACCTCCTGGGGTGAGGAAGAGGAAGGAGGCAAGTTTCCATCCCCTGTCCCCAAGGGGAAGGATCAGGAGAAGACTAGAGGAAGACACCAAGGACCATACCCTTGGGGTATGGGGACCCTTGGGAACATACACTTAAAGCCTGGTGTTTTAGGGATGCAAGAGGTGGATTGGGGAACGAAGACATGGATTTTCCCCTCCCAACCCGCCGAGGAAGAAACCCCTCATCTTCCTCCCAGTTCTGTCAAGCGACCCATCCCCTCTTGGCCCACCCAGCCCCGGCTCCTCTCCATGGGCAGCTCCCTCATCCCGCGTGGCCGCCGCCGGACAATGAGATGCTCTGTGTGGGCTTTTTACGTAACCCAGCCCGGCCATCGCCTTGGAACCCCCTTCAAATGGGCCGGGGCTGCGATAAATAAGCTCATTTATCCCAATTATTCTTACGTAACCGGCTGCATTCACGGGGGATGAAAAAAAAAACAACACGCTTCCCCCATTTTTCTGGCCGCCGGGAGGGAGAGGGATGGGAAAAAGGGGGGAAGGATGGAGGGAGGGAAAGGGGAAGGCGGAGGCTTTTTAATCCAGGCTGACGGAGCCAAAAAAAAAAAAAACACAA